CTGATGTGGCGCCCAGTCAGATCGGAATTTCCATTCTCGGTGTGATGTGGCACGTGGTGGCGCCTAGTCAGATCAAAAAAATTGACTATTCGTCCACAAACTTTATATTCGTTGCACTTTCGTCTTTTATTGTTTCCAGTTTACAAAATTAGAAAAAAATATTAAAAAAATCAAACGAACAATAAAAAGCTTTAAAAAGAAAAAGATAAAATCAAAAGAAAAAGAAAAATATATAATTTTTAATTTAATAAAAAATAAAATATTTAATGATTAATAAAAAGGAAATATTTAATAAAAACGAAATAAATTTATAATGAGTGATAAATATTTTTTATTTAATGATTAAGTATTTAATACAAAAATGAAATATTTAATAAAAAATGAAAAAATATATCTTTATTAAATACTTAATTTTTTATTAAATATTTAACCATTAATAAAAAATACTTATTAAATAATTATTACTCATGAAAATATTTATTTCGTATTATATTTATTTTTTTATTAAATATTTTTTATTTTCTTATTTAAATAAAAAATATTTTTTTTCATTAAACAAAGAAATGATAAATATTTCTTTTTTATTAAATATTTAACCATTAAACAAAAAATATTTATTTCTCATTAAACATTTAATTTGTTTTTCATTTCGTTTTTTATTAATTATTTAGTTTTTAATTAAATAAAAAAAAATGTATTTTTATTTACAAAAAAGATATTATTTTATTTTTTTTAAAATCATTAAACAAAATGATTTTTTTATTAATTAATATTCTTTTTTTGTTAATTTTTTTTATTCACATGTCTTTTCTTTTTCTTTTTAAAGCCTTTTCTTTTTCTTTTGATTTCTTAATTTTTTTTTTTCTTTTGATTTTGTAAATCGGAAACAATTAAAGGACGAAAGTGCAACGAACCTAAAGTTAGTGGACGAATAGTGCAATTTTTTCGATATGACTAGGCGCCACCTGGTGCCACATCACGCTGAGAATGGAATTCTGATCTGACTGGGCGCCACATCAGGTATTCCGACGAAAATGAGCACCGGAATGTCATTTTGGACTAAAATTACCAAAACAAAAAAGTTAGTGTACCAATTGTGAACCGGAAACAATTAAAGGACGAAAGTGCAACGAGGGTATAGTTAGTGGACGAATAGTGCAATTTATCCTATGGCTGTTAGTTAGTTTTGGTGCAATGACGGTTTGTACGTGTCGTTGCTTATTCAGTGTGGATAATCGAGTGGGCACACGAGGAAGTACTTATCGAGTCATAGGTTGCCAAAATCGTGGTGCCGGCCGTCTTCACGTCAACCTTCATTTGCTTATTCCTACTGTACCTAATGCTCATAATATGGCGGGATTGGAAGAAGGTGACGGTTTCTTGCTCTGGAAATGGAGACGTGGAAAAAATAGAGAAGATGATGAATGAGTATATGTAGAAGGGATTGAAGAATAATGGAGGTTACCTGGCCTCATGTTTGCACGACCGGAGTTTTTCTTTCAATACACACCAAAATTGCAGGCTTGAACACGCACCAGAGTTTTGATCAGGAGATTATTTATTTAAAGTTTATATGTCAGTATATAAAACACGAAGGAGTGTAGTAAACATATACACAAATTATACGTTAGTTATACATAATCTGTATTGTGTTGTTTTTGGGAGTGCGCAAAGTTACATATGTTGTTTATCTTATGTATAACTACATATTTTGGATTTTGCAGTCATTTAGAACTGGGTATTATGTTTTACTTCGTTTCTGTGTTGTTTATCTTTTGTATAATTATACAGTTAATATTTAGAGAACTGTCAGATCATGTTTATGTGTTGTTTATATGTTGTTTATCTTTTGTATAACTATATAGTTAATATTTAAAGAACTGTCAGATCATGTTTATCTAATGTATATATACAATATATCTAAACATATGAGATTTCGTGAAGAAAAATTTGTTATTTTCCAGCTCGACCGGAGCTTTATTTTTTAAGTACGATTAACGATTTTTTTGGAATTCAAGATGTGGAAGAACGGACAATTCCATTTGAATTTATGAATTCGAGAATTCCTTGATTCTAGGCATCATATTTGTTAAGTTCTTTTTTCAATTTCCGTTTTCTTTGCGAGTCATTTGGGAAAAATTGATTGCGTGCCTGATTTTTGGAGAGAGAAACAATCATTAAGTGAGAAAAGGTTGGGAAAATTGATTGCGTGCTCGATTTATTGACATTGGAGAGAAAAAATAATGTTTAGGTGAGAGAAAGATAAGTTCGTAGATGTGAAAAAAATACCCCATAAATATTCATTTTGATTAAACTTTCTTTACTACGTAGATATGTAAATATATCTTACAAGGAATCTATATATGCAAATTTCCCTTATACTATTAGGTCCGATTATATTGGATGTAACTTAACCCGCCCCGACTCCCATCCATCCATTCATCGAATTGATTTGGATAATTGTAGAAGTTTTGATTTTCTCTCTCTCCAGAACTACACTAAAAAAAAAGCTCCGCCAACACTCAAAAATGGCCACCAACTCTCTCTCCCTTCCCGCCATTTCCAATTTCTCTCTCCCTCCAAGGAGATTCGCTAGGGTCACGCGTTTGTCCCTCAGCGACCAATCGCAGTCTCCGTCTGTCGACGCCAAGCGCCACCTCCTCCGCCTGATCGCCGACCAGGACCGCTGTAACACCCCGCTTATCAGAGTAAATTTTTCGCAACTTTTACTTCGAAACTATTTATAATTTTTTCGAAATCTTTTGCATCTAACTCGGGATGCTACTCAACTTATCTTCTTGAAAATCTGTTTCTCTTCAAACTATCATTTAATACTTCACTGAAACATAAAAACAGATTTCATTTAAACTTGCATTTAAAATACATAATTATAATTATCATAATTATGAAAACAATAAATCTAAAATTCCTTAAAATGCAAGTTCAATAATTAATGTGCTAGCGGAAATACTTGAAACGTGGTTACATATACAAACTTTTATAAATGTCCATATT